CCAGGTGAAGGGATGGATAAACTATTAGGTTGCATTAATTTGGAGCTATGAAACTGGTAAAAGGATTATAGTTGCTGCAACTCCTAGGGTCAAGGTTTGTTCCACATTTCTATAATTTTATTTATATTTGTACTAATTTATCACATATCATGCATCTTTTCTCCTTTAGACTAATTATTACAGTAGAATATATTGGCCAATAGACTGCCATTCTCACCTTTGGTATTGCATCTTTTTTCTTGACAGCCTGTTACATTGGAACTTGGTGAAGATGTCGTATTTGAGTATGTTGACATTGACAAAAGGTACATGTTGAATGCTGAGACATATATACGTTGTGTGAGGCAGAGGTTAAATGCTCTGTAAATAAAGAGAGACAACAAGGATTGGTGAGTTTATGATCCCACTTTCGTACTGTTTTTATACAAAAACAACAATGAGCGGCATATGTACTTCTCATCCAATTAGTTTTCTAGCACGTAAATGTAACTATTTCTTCATGCACATGAGAAAGACAAATATTAGTTCCTACATGTTTGAGGATATGTATAACCATACTATGGAATGCAGTTGTGCCGAGGAGGAACGAGGATGAGAGATGTGTCTTGCTAGACATATTAGCAAATTCTTAATTCATTTGATTACATTCATGAGTATTATTCTATTCCAACATACGGGCTTTGTTCAGTGCATATACAGATATACTATCTTATAGAAATATGTTGTTCAAGGATGAAGAGGTGGATAAGTTTGTGGCTTTACTTACTGAATGTCCAGATCTGTCTTGCTTCTCAGTCAAGGCCTACATTTAGAGTATACATATTCATATGTAAGTGATTTAAGGTCAATTACCTCCCCCTGTTGTAATGCTCATCATCTTAATTCAGACATTGTTATATATATGCACCATGGTTCACGACTATACTTTTTTCCGTAGGGCCTATGCAAATCCATTTGGAACAGTGTTACTATTTTACATTTTGCTACAAAAAGTTGTGTGCTGCAGGTGTCTATACACGGGAACCAAAGAAGGCAACTCGGCAGTTTCTCCCTGCCCTAATCAAGATTCACAATGATAGGAGGGCACAGAGATCATGCTGCCATGGAATCCATCCATTTTCATTGCCTTGCTGCTTTCTAGCTTGTTTCTTGATATTCAATAGCCATATACCTTTAGGACTTGGGATGCGATTTCACATGCATCGCGTAGCTGATGCTTTTGCCGGTTCATGATGAGCTATTTTTGTGTAAAGCTGCTATTGGCCGTGGAAAGACTAGCTATGCATGGCTCAGTTTTATTGAGCTTAGATGAAAATTTGAGTGAACCGACTAAATTCATACAAAAAAGGGGCCAAGTACAACCCCAAATTAGAGACTAGATGGGATGCCCATCCTGGTCACTATACTATTAGACTTACAATCTCGAACGGCTACCTGTATTTTTTAATTTGTTTGTGGACCTGGAATGGCCATTATTTGGGCATAGGACATGCCAGCATGTTTTCTGAAAGTTGTAGGAGAGGCATGCTATTTAAAATGGATAGATTGCAAAAAAAAATTGTACCTCCATTGGTCAGGACCTGACCATGGAAGAATGAACAGTAAATGTTGTCAAATGAACTACATTGGTCCGGATCTCCACGTAATAAGTGTTATTCTTGCTGCACTGGCTCGGGCATCCGCATTGTCCGTCGACGGGTATGTATGGGCCGTCGCTTGGTACAGCCGCAGGGGAAATGGCTGGCCATTGAACTACATTGGTCAGGCCTGTAGGTAATGAGTAGCATGATTCATGTCTTATTTTGGTGATAAAGATATGATATCGATGCAGCCTGATGGTTTGCTGCGAGCAAAGCAATGCCGTTCTATGAGGGAGGCGAGCGGGCCGACGACAACTGTTGTGAGTCGGGCGAAGCGGCTCCGTCGACGGGTATGTATGGGCCGTCACTTGGTACAGTCACAGGGGGAAGGGATGGCCATTGAACTACATTGGTCAGGACCTGTAGG